ATGTAGATTAGAGGATATTGTGTTGTGTTGTGTGCTTAATCATTTATGTAAGCTGAAATTTTCGTTAGAGAATTTGAAGGAATGGAACTTTTCTATTGGATTATTTGAGGAAAGTGCTTTTCCATATAATGTCCACTTTGAATGAATGTTGTGGAATTTGTTCACATAATTTTGCTGACGACTGAACTTGGTACCGAATCAAATAAATTGTGCGAGCAACTTTTTAAGATTAATGATTAATTTAGTGATTAGGGTGGGTTACTATGGCTTAGATTTTAGGATTTGTTTTTAGGTATGTTATATACATTTTAATAAAATTCTTGAGACCTATTTAATATCAATAATGGAACTTCTATTGAACCTTTTCTTGTGCCATAAATGAGCAGCAAACGAATCGAGCAGCTCGCAAGCGTACATGTTAATGTTTGCTTCGACTCAAGTTTGAAGTAGCTCAAATCGAGCTCGAGCATTTTGAATTCAAAACTCAAGCTCGAGCCAGTCATCTAGTTTGTATGCTCGAGCGTTGTACATAAATTACCTAAATACAACTCAATAGGTAGTTTCTTTAATTGAAATTTTCGAGCCAATCTCGAACGTTGGTGTTTTGATGTCGAGAACAATACATGCTTGTCGTGCTAGAGCAAGTCTTAGAAAAATTGAGCATGGCTCAATAAGGCTAATGATCAACTTGCAGCTCTAGTCATGAACAAAACGTTCCTACGTATTAGTAACATGAGATGGTCTAATTATTAGGTAGATCGACCAGTCACACAATGCAAATAAACAAGCCTACTTATACTATCAATTATTATTATTATTATTATTATATTCATGTTATTTTCTAACAGTATGATATTTCATATGAAAGTGTTCATATTTGTTGGAAGGGTATATCGACCTATGGGGAACTTAGTGGTACATAGCAAGTTCTGGATATTAGGCATCTCAATTCAACACTTGCTTGGTGCAATTTGTGCCCCATTTTGATCTGGTATGGTTTAACTTGAAGGCTATTGCATAAAATTAAGTGGGAACAAAAGAGAACCATCATGTGAAACAATTTATAAATCCAAATTCCAAATGCACAACGTTGTACATCAAAGTATTCACAAATATATACTATGGTTAGTATGTTTACATTATAACTAAACAGAGCAAAACACGAAAGTAAATGGTTTTCCTAGTTATAAGATTCCCCACACTTTTCACACTTTCACAGACCACTTCACATATACGTGCCTTACTATATATGAGTTTCATGACTTTGCAGAAGGCTGCATATTTTTGTAATATCCATATATAATATATATAACTACTTCATAATTCTGTTCACAAACCTGAGTTTTTTTTTTATATTTCAAGTAATTATCCCCAGCAACTCAAGTCCAAACGAAACCATCAACGACCTGCAACACAAATCATTCACAAATATTATAGCTTTCATGTAACTTTTATAAGAGAAAAATAAAGTATCCAAATGGTGGAAAATGTTTCGTGAAAATGTCTGTTTTACTACGTACAAGAAATTTCCAGTTATTCAATCCTTGAAAATTATAGCACCATATTCCACTTCACAAGAACTATGCTCAGATTACCCAAAATGTCAAAAAACATCAATATTTTCCAACTATAAGGGATCACAAAGACTACACTTGCTATTTCTATTTTCAAAACAAATACAAACACATAACAGTCACCACAAGTCTGCATAGACAACAATAATTTCAGAAAGATAGCTGATTTTTTTAGACCAAACCATACCAAAATGTATTCGTATAAACAAAAGCACATCCGATTTTGTCATTAGAAATCTATGGATTAGTTCCTTACCATGACCAACACCAAGTCCGGGAGAAGCGTATGAAAGGCTATCATCAACCGGCTTAAACTCTTGAAGCTCCTTGAAACTCTCCCATGACTTTACCCACACTTTTGCCTCATATTTCTTCTTCCGACCACCATCGGTTACCTCAAGGGTAAGATGGTGCATTATACCTGCTACGACCTGTTCTTTGGCATTCACTACCCTCACAAACTCGAGAGCTGAGTTCTGTAAAAACACAAAAAGGTGCAGTTTATGATAATACCATGAACAAGAAAGATCTTTTTCTCTCCAATGCGGCTCGAACCCAATTCGTAACTCTAGACTAACAACATTCTAACTCTAGTTAATCAAGTTCTAACTACTTATCTCAATGGAATCGTAAGATTATCCCACCCTGATATCAACTAGTTTTTAAGAAAAATTAAAGGCAGCATTTAGATAATTCCATATATTGTGAAACCCAGAATTGCATACAGACTAAAATGTTAGCTTATAATACGAGCTCAACGATTTGGAATTTGTTGTATTCGAACAACACACATTTACTACAACCCAGATTTGGATAAAAGACTAAAAAGTTGGCTTATAATACGAGCTCAACGACTTGGAATTCATTGTATCCAAGCAAGAGACATTTATAAAACGAGAAATATACAGTTCCCATCACCATCTATCCTTTCCGGCACAATCAAATCAAATATAGAACGAGAATAAAAAAAAAAAATGAAATAAATAACAGATAAAAATAAATGTACCTGCTTTTCGTTGTGCCTCTTAACCGCAAATCTCGCAATGCTATCAATCTCGGGATTGTTCTGAGAAACACCGCCCAGGCCACCAACTTTCATCGTCTCCGTCAGCGCCACCGCCGGCTCGCCACAGAACCCGATCGCACAAATCAGGGCGACCACAGCCGAAACTAAAATGAAGGGAAGCGTAAATTCGTTTCTGCTATTCACTTTCATCGACATTTTTCTGCAAATTTGAGTGGATTATTATTTTTTTTGTACTTCGAATTTATGTTCTGATATTTATCGCTTTCGAGATCCGCTGTTTTTGGCGTAGCGATTAAGGATCGGCAGATGAGAAGAATTTTCCGGAAATATATATTTTAGTTGGGCCGTTTATTGGATCGAATAATCGTATATTGGGTTGTCCATTGGTTTGGTATGGGTCTACTGCTTGGGTTGGGTGTGTTACTGGGCTTTGGTTAATTTTGATATTATGCTGTCCTTATTCGCTCATAAATATAACTAATACAATACCCGTGTATTACAGGGGCGTTGAATTAGAAATATTTTGTAAAAAGTATTAATTTTTATATTTTTTTTAAACTAAAATAATTTAATTTTATATAAAACATTACTTTGGGTTTAATTTAAATTGTCAGATTATATTTTTCTAATGATAATAATTAAACACTCGTACATTAAATGAAAATGTCAACCCGTGTTGAATTTTTTTACTTATATCATATAAAATTATCGATTTTATTTACTATTACATAAGTACAAAAATATATATCTTAAATAAATAGAAATAATATGGTGATATGTACATGCATAAGTGTCGAATATGTTTATTTAATATTAAGCAAAATAGATTAATTTTTTTACTTAATTAGATGCATAACTTTATATGTAATTTTAGAATTTAGATAATAATTATTTATTTTTACTAGATTGAAAACATATCAATTAGATTTGAAATAAATATCATTTTTAAAAGAATACATACTAATTTTTATTACTTTATAATATAATTTATAATTTAATTTTATATAATTTAATTTAATTTGATAAATAAATTTAAATTTTATTTATAAGGATATATATTACTGTTTTGTTTTTTTATATATATGGATGCCTAATCGAAAATCGTTAAAGGATAGTTAATTTGATATATCATATATGTATAAAATAGTTTATGGTAATTAATTGCAGAAGTAAGAAGGAAAAAATCAATCATGGATTTATGGATTTAGTATGATAAAAAATATTAATTTATATCCAAGTCTAACACCAAAGCATAGTTTTTTGCCAAATAGAATTCGAAGCACGAGAGTTTGCCACGTAAGCACAACGCATTCTGAAATTTTATATAGAGGGGATGAAAATATTTCTATATATATATTTTAAATAATATTATAAATCTGAAACAAATAAATTAAAATCTATGATTTCAATTATGATTTAGCACCAACACAAATTACGACAACTATAAATTCAAATCAAAATAGGAACCCATTCAAATTAGATTAAAAATTACCATACAAGACCAACCAAAAACAATAAAAAGAAAATAATCCAAACATATTGGCAACGTCATCTATTTTAAAAAGTCTCTGAAATCTATACTTATATTAAAGGGGGTACTATTTACCAAATTAAGTAGCCAGAAAAGTCAACAACATTTATTGCATTACTATTTCCGTATTATATTATATAAAAGGATATTCTATTTACTACATTTATTATCCAGAAAAGTCAACTGCATTAAATGTCATTACTATTTTGGTATTACAATATTTTATTTATTTAATTAATTTATTTATTTGTTTTATTTTAAAAAAGTAAATATAATAAAAAGATTTTAATAATAAAAAAATTAAATACCAAATAAAAATGTACACTTTGACTTATTTGATTATATTTGGTATTTGATTATACCAAATATATTCCTATTTAGTATATACATTAAATACTTACTAAAGTATTTATTTGTTTTATTTGTCAAAGTTAAGTATAGATTTGTTTATATTATCAAATCATAAAAAATGCAAATTTTGAGTGGATTATTATTTTTTTTGTACTTCGAATTTATGTTTTGATATTTATCGCTTTCGAGATGCTCTGTTTTTGGCGTAGCGATTAAGGATCGACAGATGAGACGAATTTTCCGGAGTTATATATTTTAGTTGGGCCGTTTATTGGGCCGAATAATCGTATATTGTGTTGTCAAGTGGTTTGGTATAGGTCTACTCCTCGGGTTGCGTTTGTTACCGGGCTTTGGTTAATTTTGATATTATGCTGTCCTTATTCGCCAATAAATATAATGAGAATATTTCTATATATATTTTAAATAATATTATAAATCTGAAACAAATAAATAAAATCTATGATTTCAATTAGGATTTAGCACCAACACAACTTACGACAACTATAAATTCAAATTAAAATAGGAACCCATTCAAATTAGATTAGAAATTACCCTACAAGACCAACCAAAAACAATAAAAAGAAAATAATCCAAACACATTGGCAAAGTCATCTATTTTAAAGTCTCTAAAATTCATACCAAAAGTCATCCGTTTTAAAAAGTTTTTAAAAAAAATCTCTAAGAATCCTGATTAAATACACCTTCTAAATAAATCTCCTAATATTCACACCATAACACAAGCACACCAAAACACACACTACTAAACAAAGGTCCAAACTACTGCAAACTTAAGAAAAACAAAAGAAATGAAAATAAAAAAATAAACAATAAACAAAAAGATATGCATAATTAAACTTTTGTTTTTTAAGTTTTTATTCATAAACTTCTAATTAAAACTCTTGTATTATATGAGTTTTGTATTGTTACTATGGCCAAAAGTAAATCAAATATCATACGGTATAAAAGAGTAAAAGACCTCACCATACTTGTGTGATATAAAATTAAATCAAATACCATATGGTATAAAAGACCTCACCATACTTGTGTGATATAATTAATTGAAATTTCACATAATCTTTTCTTATTAAAAAATAAAATAAATTATATGATTGCCGTTTTCGTTCTCTATTTTCACGGTTGAATTCACACCGTTGACTGCTACAAAAGTACAAATGAAGAGTAGTGATCCTAGGTGGGAAAAGTCTAATGATAAAAATAATTTAAAAAAAAAATAAAAAATCAGGACATTGGTATTAGATGACTTTTCTAGTAGTTAGAATTATTATTAGGCATTAGCACATGCAAATAACATTCCCAAATGCGTATGCCATTCTAGGTTTTTTGTTTGAGTCATTTACTTATATATTACAAAATCATTTTTTTATCGGTTATATATTATATATTACAAAATCATTAATCAAAGAGTCTCAAAATAAATCTTACAATTTAATCAACTGTGAAGTTCATCCAATCGATGTAGTAGTTTTCGAGCAAGGAGATCAGCACATGCCTGCTCGAGTGTGTGTGATCCAATAGCTTTAAACTCTACAAGTGGAATAAACTCTAATGAAGTCACTAATCCATTTTTCGACATTAATGCTTATACACTTTTTTTAATATTAAACGTCCACAATTCAATAGATGCATATACAATTATACTAAAAGTTTTATAATCATTAAATCGATTTACACAATGGAAAGACAAGACAACATATGTTGTTTGTCGTATGTGATTTTACCTCGAGTCAAGTGGCATGGCACTTGTGAGACACGGTTCGAGCACTCGGGGGGTTAGGGTTCCTATATGACTTCGATTTGACTAGTCTTCCAGTTTCGGGAGTGATTGTTCTTCAATTTGTTGATATTTGGGTCGGGCTCATATGAAGGTAACGATCTGGAAGACTGGGCACCAGGCGAAGCCGGCCCTACCGGTGAGGCCGATTACCAAGTTAATTCGTAGGTGCCGATCTGGGCATAGGTCAAAGTCAACAGGAGCGGCGAACGGCGTCGTTCCCGAGGTCGGCACCTTAGTTCCCCCATTATGGAGTCGACCTGGTTAAGTGCCGTGCGAAGATGGGATCTGGAAGACCGGAGGATGGAAAAGGTACCAGAGCCCGACCCGGGATCCTACCAGGTCGGCCTCCATAGGAGTTAAGGATCCAGGAAACAGTAAAATGAGGCCACTTGTCAATCCCAGACTAGCCTGCAGGTCTAGGATGTCTAGCCCGGCCAGGGAGCACGTTCGCATTTAATGTAGCCCATACCAGCATTAAATGCCCTGCAGGTAATGATTGGAAGACCCACGAATTACTCCCAATTAGTCAGAGAAACGCCGTTCTGTCGTGCCGAGTTACTATGCGACAAGACCCATGAACAGTATCTGAATAGTGTCGCATTTAAGCACCCTATAAACAGAATATTTGAGCATTTATTTTGGATTGTCGAATCCCCAACGGTCTGACTCTCTCTACTTTCTCTCTCTAAGCTTGTAAGCAACCCGTGTAAGAATTTTTGTAAGGATATCGCAAGTGCCGACCTCGTGATCGATTAATAAAATCGTAATCAATCCGTATTTTCCTGCTTTTCCCCTATTTCACATTCCTTTTCCTATTTCTTAACCGTTGATCGGAAACGTCCATCAACACAATTAATGAGCAATGTTATATGTACAATTGTAGTTTACAACATTATTTGACAACATAGTTAAAAGTATCATTAACTCAAATCTTAAGCACACATTTATTTGAATCTCAATCACCCACATTATGACACATCATGTTGTCACTGAATGTTGTACAAAAAAAGTTGTACAAGTAGCTTTTTCCTCTCCCAATTTAGGAGTGGTTTTGTTATATTTATTCTTTATGATTTTCGTATTAGACTTTGAATTTGACTTGATATTCTCAGGAATTTATTTAGATCAATTCGTTTATAATTGTGTGTTGTTTAGTATAATTATATATTTATAAAAAAATNAATATCATATTTGTACACGTGTCAATCATATGTCGATTAGAAAAATACTAGTACAATACACATGTACTACACGGATACTTGTTAAGAAAGTTATTTTTAAAATTAAATAATAATAATAACAATTGTTTAAAATTAAATATATGTATTTATTAGGCTAATTTGAGGTTTTCATAGAAATTAACGAGCCTATTGAAAGCTTACAAAACAAATACAAGTTATATTAGTCAATCAATATCATTACCAAAAAATTTCAATACAATTTAAGGGTTATATTAGTCAAACTATTATATATTTACCAAGTTAGTTTTTTAATAATTTTGGAATGTCGGAATATAAAATTATTAATTTAAATAATAATATTTTTTTATCCAAATCAAACTACGAAGTATGTTTTTTCGCCAATTAGAATTCCCAATCATGCGAAGCTGCACTTAAACGCAACGTATTCTGCAATTATATACAACGAAATATACATGGCGATATTATATTTATGCACGTGTAAATCGTTTTATCAAAATAAATACTAAACTATATTTAATATTTCGTTCGTATGCATCCACCACCAAATTCAATTATTTGCCCAACAAACCCCTCCCAAAAAAAAACACAAGCACACGCTCCATAGTCCCAACTAACCACAGTTTCAGCATAAAATATATACATTTTATACAACGACCACATACTCCAAAGACACAACTAACCACATATTTCACCAACTTACATACAAAATACATATATAAATTCTACCCAAAAATCTCTCTTCAGCCAGCAGCAAGCCAAAGTTCATCTCAAGCTCAACAATGGCGCTACCCCTCATAATCCTCTCCTTCCTCGCCGTCCTCGCCGCCTACAAGCTCTTCCAGCGCCTCCGCTTCAAGCTCCCCCCCGGCCCCCGGCCCCTCCCCGTCGTCGGCAACCTCTACGACCTCAAGCCCGTCCTCGTCCACTGCTTCACCGAGTGGTCCCAGATCTACGGCCCAATATTCTCCATCTACTTCGGGTCCCACCTCAGCGTGGTGGTCAACTCCGCCGAGCTGGCCAAGGAGGTCCTCAAGGACAACGACCAGCAGCTGGCCTACCGGAACCGGACGCGACAGATCAACATGTTCAGCAAGAACGGGATGGACCTCATCTGGTCCGACTACGGCCCGCACTATGTCAAGGTCAGGAAGCTCTGCACGCTCGAGCTCTTCTCCATGAAGAGGATTGAGGCGCTTAGGCCGATTAGGGAAGATGAGGTCACCGCCATGGTTGAGTCGATTTTCAAGGATTGCATCAAGCCTGGTATGAATTGATTCTAAATAAATTTCTGATGGCCCTTTCAAAAAAAATTATTGACACTAGTAGAAAAAAACACATTCTAGGGGTCACTTTTTATATCGGTTGTAACATACCCGTAGAAAGTAGGACGGTGGCATTTTCGTAATAAAATTATTATTATGTATATGTGGTTCTATTAACCTCATATAAAAACCCAATGCCTATCAAGATTAACATAGGGCCTTTTTGACTTGGTGTGTTGGGAGTTGTGATGTGACTGTGATGGGAGCTGAGAAATTACGATAAATGAGTTAGTAATCGTGGTGATATGAAGAAATAGATGAGAAGATATTTAGAAATTTTGGTTTTCAGCATGCTAGATCTCAATCTCTGTTTTCTTTGTTGAAGTTCTGTTTTTCCTCGATTCTGCTTTGTGTTCTGTTGTCACTTGAAGAGATTAAAGCTTCTTTACTGGGCTAGCCTTGAATGTCTTGGAAATTGATGAGATATACTTGATTTATAGGTTGAGAGGTGTTATATAATCAACACAATAGGTGCATAGATCAACAAGTTTGTCTTGCAATCTAATTTGCTTTACAAGTGCAGTTTCATAATCCCATTTCATGATTGCAGTTGATAATAATGTTGTTAATCAATGACTTGCAGAAAACAAGGGCAAGGATCTGGTCCTTCGCGAGTACTTGGGCATGATGGCCTTCCTTCACATTACGCGCCTGAGCTTTGGGAAAAGGTTCATGGATTCGAATGGAGTGATTGACCAGCAGGGAGAGGAATTAAAGGGAATTCTACACAACGGGATTAAATTAGGCAACAAGAAATCGTTCGCCGAGTTCCTCCCCTGGCTTAGGTTTTTGTTCAAGTCCGAGAACGAGGCATTGAACAAGCACGATCAACGTTCCGACAGTTTCGCCAAGAAAATCATGGAGGAACACACCCTCGCCAGGAAGAAGACGGGTAATACCAAGAACCATTTTGTCGATGCCTTGTTGACTCTTCAGAAGGATTACGACTTGAGTGAGGACACCGTGATCGGCCTCCTCAAGGTAAATAAATTATAAATACAACCAACAATTTCCACTTTGATTCCTTATATATATAAGCTATGTTTGGTAAAGCTAGTGATATAGTTTATAAATTAATTCCAAACTTATAGTTGATAGCTTATGACTCATGATTAAAAATTTAGTTAATATGATAAAAGCGTAAAATTTAAAAGACTTATTTGATGAAATAAGCTCGAACTTTTTAAGTAAGCTCGTCGAATCAAATCAAGTTTATTTGGTATACAGAAAGCTTATAAGCTAACCAAATGAGTTATGAACTAGTTTATGCTGCTTACCAAACCCACTTATATAGCTACTGACATACATCACAAACGATCCCTCCTATTTTTTTAGGTTTTACATGATTCTTTTTCTAAATTTCGATGAAGTAAAAAAAAAAAAGATAAAGTTACGATTTTTTCACAGAACATGATATCTGCCGGCATGGACACAACCGCCACCACGGTCGAGTGGGCCTTAGCCGAGATGGTCCGAAACCCGAGGGTTCAGCAGAAGTTGCAAGACGAGCTTGACCGTGTCGTGGGTCGGGACCGAGTCATGACCGAAGCCGACATCCCGAACCTCCCTTACCTCCAACACGTGACCAAGGAGTGTTTCCGGCTCCACCCTCCGACTCCTCTCATGCTCCCTCACAAGGCCAACACCAATGTCAAAATCGGTGGCTTCGACATTCCCAAGGGAGCAACCGTGAGCGTGAACGTGTGGGCCATTGCACGCGACCCGGCTGTGTGGAAAGACCCGCTCGAGTTTCGACCCGAGAGGTTTCAAATTGAGGATGTGGATATGAAGGGGACCGATTTTCGGTTCTTACCCTTCGGGTCGGGTCGGAGGATTTGCCCGGGTGCACAGCTGGCGATTTTCTTGGTGAGCTCGATGTTGGGCCATATGGTTCATCATTTCAATTTGGACCCGCCTGAGGGGGTTCGACCGGAGGATATGGACATGATGGAGCGGCCGGGGATGGTGACTTATATGAGGACACCGTTGAAGGTGGTGCCGACTCCAAGGCTGCCGGCTGAGCTGTACAAGCGGGTGGCAGTTGGGAATGTGTGAGTTGGCGGGATTGGTGATTAACACGTGGCTTTTCTGCCTTTTTGTGATGGTTTTATTTTGTGTTGGATGGATGGCTTTTTGAAATTTGGTTCCTTTTGTGATGTTTTTTTTTTTTTATGAACGGTGAAGTTTGATCCTGTAGTAAAAAAATATATCCAGTAAAGTAGCTGTGTAGTTCATAATATGATTTTTTTTTCTCATTTTTAGATCTTTTGTTTGTTCAAACAAAAGCATGAATAATGTAGAGTTTGTTGATATATATGTGTCCTGTCATGGATATGGTCATTCTAAAGCTGGAAAATGGAGACGAACCATTATACTTTAACATGTACATTGCATGAAAAAAAAATAAAAAATAAAAAAAATTATATTAAGTCTCTCTTTCAACTTTTTTTTTCTTTTTTGGTGCAATAAAGGGAGACTACGGCGAGCCTAAACTATAATCGACCGAGGGTGAGACACGGCCCACACTTCGACTGTCCGCCAAAGCACGCCTCCCCATGTTCACGAAAGAGTCACCTCACCAAGGCGCTGGGACGTGGAAATATCGGCCCCTGAAAGATTTTGAGATTCCTCCACCTCCACAAACACCACGCCGTAATTTCGAAAATTGACACCTAGTTCTCACAAGCTTATGAATATGAAACTTATTAGTATAAACTTAACTTATCATACTCTGTTATATTCTCACAAGCTTTCTCTCAGTAAGCCCATAACAGAGCTCGTGAGCTGGCCGCTGGAATTGGCTTTTCATGATTCAGGCGAAACATATATGTTAGAATATCACTTGTGAGTTGTCTCACATCGTTCATACATGGAAAATAGATTTACCATATAAGTCTAATGGGTTATTCCTCCTTCCACCAAATAGTTTTGGGATAGAACTTCACTTGGACTTCATTTAGAACGTCTATGGGACTGTACCCGTCAACCTCCGTTTTTTCATGGTATCAGAGCCGGTTCAACCAGCCTAGTTGGACTTGGGCCTACGTAGGACCGTGCAATGACGTACTCGTTACCTAGGCCAGTTGGGCTTAGTCTTCCGAAGGACAAGTTAGAATATACACAACCCCCGTTTGTCATAAGAGATAAAAATAAATGTACCTGCTTTTCGTTGTGCCTCTTAACCGCAAATCTCGCAATGCTATCAATCTCGGCATTGTTCTGAGAAACACCGCCCAGGCCACCGAGTTTCATCGTCTCCGTCAGCGCCACCGCCGGCTCGCCACAGAACCCAATCGCACAAATCACGGCGACCACAGACGAAACTAAAATGAAGGGAAGCGTAAATTCGTTTCTGCTATTCACTTTCATCGCCATTTTTCTGCAAATTTTGAGTGGATTATTATTTTTTTTGTACTTCGAATTTATGTTTTGATATTTATCGCTTTCGAGATGCTCTGTTTTTGGCGTAGCGATTAAGGATCGACAGATGAGACGAATTTTCCGGAGTTATATATTTTAGTTGGGCCGTTTATTGGGCCGAATAATCGTATATTGTGTTGTCAAGTGGTTTGGTATAGGTCTACTCCTCGGGTTGCGTTTGTTACCGGGCTTTGGTTAATTTTGATATTATGCTGTCCTTATTCGCCAATAAATATAATGAGAATATTTCTATATATATTTTAAATAATATTATAAATCTGAAACAAATAAATAAAATCTATGATTTCAATTAGGATTTAGCACCAACACAACTTACGACAACTATAAATTCAAATTAAAATAGGAACCCATTCAAATTAGATTAGAAATTACCCTACAAGACCAACCAAAAACAATAAAAAGAAAATAATCCAAACACATTGGCAAAGTCATCTATTTTAAAGTCTCTAAAATTCATACCAAAAGTCATCCGTTTTAAAAAGTTTTTAAAAAAAATCTCTAAGAATCCTGATTAAATACACCTTCTAAATAAATCTCCTAATATTCACACCATAACACAAGCACACCAAAACACACACTACTAAACAAAGGTCCAAACTACTGCAAACTTAAGAAAAACAAAAGAAATGAAAATAAAAAAATAAACAATAAACAAAAAGATATGCATAATTAAACTTTTGTTTTTTAAGTTTTTATTCATAAACTTCTAATTAAAACTCTTGTATTATATGAGTTTTGTATTGTTACTATGGCCAAAAGTAAATCAAATATCATACGGTATAAAAGAGTAAAAGACCTCACCATACTTGTGTGATATAAAATTAAATCAAATACCATATGGTATAAAAGACCTCACCATACTTGTGTGATATAATTAATTGAAATTTCACATAATCTTTTCTTATTAAAAAATAAAATAAATTATATGATTGCCGTTTTCGTTCTCTATTTTCACGGTTGAATTCACACCGTTGACTGCTACAAAAGTACAAATGAAGAGTAGTGTTCCTAGTGGATAATAAAATATATGATTAATGCTATAGAGCCAACTTGAATAACAACTTAAGTTACAACTCAAATGTAAATACATTATTTTTAAATTTTTTGATAATGCGTATACACTTGGATTATAACTCAAGTTATCGTCCAAGTAAACTAAATAGCATTATTCAAAGTATATTTTTCTCGCTGACAAATTGTTTAGGCAAGCTGGTAGGTGGGAAAAGTCTAATGATAAAAATAATTTAAAAAAAATAAAAAATCAGGACATTGGTAGTAGATGACTTTTCTAGGAGTTAGAATTATTATTAGCACATGCAAATAACATTCCCAATGCATCTGCCATTCTAGGTTTTTTGTTTGAGTCAATTACTTATATATTACAAAATCATTTTATTTTTTATCGGTTATATATTATATATTACAAAATCATTAATCAAAGAGTCTCAAAATAAATTTAACCTTTTAATCACTTGTGAATTTCATCCAATAGATGTAGTAGTTTTCGAGCAAGGAGATCAGCACACGCCTGCTCGGGTGTGTGTGATCCAATAGCTTTAAACTCTACAAGTGGAATAAACTTTAATGAAGTCACTAATCCATTTATCGACATTAATGCTTATACACTTTTCTAATATTAAACTTCCAGAATTCAATAGATGTATATACAATAATACTAAAAGTTTTATATTCATTAAATCGATTTATACAATGAAAAGATAAGACTACTTATGTTGTTTGTCGTATGAGATTTTAGCTCGAGTCGGGTGGCATGGCACTTGTTAGACACGGTTCGAGCACTCGGGGGGTCAGGGTTCCTATATGACTTCGATTTGACTAGTCTTCAAGTTTCGAGAGTGGCTGTTCTCCCAATTTAGGAGTGACTTTGTTATATTTATTTTTTATGTTTTTCGTATTAGACTTTGGATTTGACTTGATATTCGACTGCTGATTTTTTGCACCCTCTCAGGAGTTTATCTAGATCAATTTGTTTATAATTGTGTGTTTTTTAGTATAATTATATATTTATAAAAAAAATGAACACAACAAAGAGCAAAAATGAAAAAAAAAAAAGTTAATCATATTTGTACACTTGTCAATCATATATCGATTACTAAAATACTAGTACAATACATGTGTACTACACGGGTACTTGTTAAGAAAAAAATTAAAAATTAAATAATAATAACAACAATTGTTTAAAATTAAATATATTTATTTATTAGGTTAATTTGAGGTTTTCATAAAAATTAATGAGCCGATTGAGAGCTTCCAAAACAAATCAATGTTATATTAGTCAATCAATATCATTACCAAAGATTCCAATACAACTTAAGGGTTATACTACATCCTATTCGTTTAAAATGTCATTTTGACATTATCAACCATTAAACAAATAAATGACGTTTTGGATCTTTTGTAGATATTTTTCCACTCTTACCCTCATTTAGCTAATAAATACGCTACGTCTTTTCATATTCTCTCTTCATCTCTTCTTAAAACATTCATCTCTATCTTCATTAATGAGGGCTATTATTGTCAAAAAAATTCTTAATTACTGTGTAACTTTTTAAAACGACACTTGTTATGAATAGAAGGGAGTATTAGTCAAACTATTATAGAATTATCAAGTTAGTTTTTCAATATTTTTGAGATGTCCGAACATAAAATTATTGATTTAGAATAATATTATTTTTTTATCCAAACCAAACTACGAAGTATGTTTTTTCCGCTAAATAGGATTCCGAAACATGCGAAACTGCCATTTAAAACTCAATATAAAATATATATATATATATATATATATATATATATATATATATATAATAAGAATTACTATTTACCATAAATAGTAACTAGAAATTTTAGGACAACATTAATTGCTTACTATTCTTGGATTTTTTTTTACATAAAAACGAATAATCATTTATGAATTAGGAGGCCTACAAATTAGGAATCTAATTTGAAATACAAATTGAAATCGGATATATCCTAAAATAAAGGAATTTGTTTATTCCCCCATCATATAATCTCATATATCCATACCATTAAATTCGAATTTTTTTTTATTTTTTTTACATAAAACTGAATATATATATAGTACTTTTAATTTATAAATCATTTACATGTCTAAATGATTTTAATTTGTGGTTTGTTCAGATTTAATTTATAAATATTTTAATATATATATATATAGTACTTTTTGAAATAAATTTAAATAAAATGTGTTACTTAGATGTCTAAACAGTTAATAAATTCAAATGTTTAAACTAATTGATAAATAATTTATAAATCTCTATTTTATTTAAAATAACTTTAGATATAACAAAATTTGATTAGAAAATCGTATCGATCCTACTAGTCCAACCGACTGGTGTTGACGGATTCGAGAGCAAATCTTTTATTCAAGCGAACTAGACTGGTTTTAAATCGGTTCTCGATCCATCCAGTCAGATTGTGTCTAACCCGATTTAATTTAAAAATAATGGATAAATCATGATTAATGTTATTTATATATTTAATTTATAATACAATCGTAATATTGTTTTCCCGTGAATCGCACGGGACACGCACTAGTCATATATAGGGGATATACATGTTGATATTATTATTTACACACGTGAAAATCATCCTATCAAAAGAAATACTAAATTATATTTAATACTAGTATTTCGTATGCATTATCCACCACCAAATTCAACTACCCCTCCCGAAAAACACAAGCACACGCTCCATAGTCCCAACTAACCACATTTTCACCATCTTCAAAATATATATAAAAATCCTCACCCAAATTTTTTTTTCTTCTCCAGAAATCCATTACCAGCAGCAGGCAGCAAGCCAAAGGGCAGCTCAAGCCTAACAATGGCGCTCCCCCTCATAATCCTCTCCTTCCTCGCCGTCCTCGCCGCCTACAAGCTCTTCCAGCGCCTCCGCTTCAAGCTCCCCCCTGGCCCCCGGCCCCTCCCCGTCGTCGGCAACCTCTACGACCTCAAGCCCGTCCTCGTCCGCTGCTTCACCGAGTGGTCCCAGATCTACGGCCCAATCTTCTCCGTATACTTCGGGTCCCACCTCAGTGTGGTGGTCAACTCCGCCGAGCTGGCCAAGGAGGTCCTCAAGGACAACGACCAGCAGCTGGCCTACCGGAACCGGACGCGACAGATCAACAAGTTCAGCAAGAACGGGATGGACCTCATCTGGTCCGACTACGGCCCGCACTATGTCAAGGTCAGGAAGCTCTGCACGCTCGAGCTCTTCTCCATGAAGAGGATCGAGGCGCTTAGGCCGATTAGGGAAGATGAGGTCACCGCCATGGTTGAGTCGATTTTCAAGGACTGCGTCAAGCCTGGTATGGATTGATTCTAAAATAAATATCTGATGGCCCTTTCAATTTTTTTTATCGATTTTGACTTGGTGTGTTGGGAGTTGTGATGTGACTGTGATGGGAGCTGAGAATTACAATAAATGAGTTACTAATCGTGTTGATATGAAGTAATAGATGAGAAGATATTTTGGAATTTTGGTTTTCAGCATGCTAGATTTCAATCTGTGTTTGCTTGTTGAGGTTTTGTTATTTCTTGCTTCTGCTTTGTGTTTTGTTGTCACTTGGAGAGATTAAAGCTACTTACAGGGCTAGCCTTGAATCCCTTGGAAATTGATGAGATATACTTGATTTATATAGGTTGAGACTTGAGAGGTATTATATGATCAATTCAATAGGTGCATAGATCCACAAGTTTGTTTTGCAATCTAAAATTACAACTGCAGTTCCATAATCCAATCCCATTTCATGATTGCAGTTGATAATAATGTTGTTAACCAATGACTTGCAGAAAACAAGGGCAAGGCTCTGGTCCTTCGCGAGTACTTGGGCATGATGGCCTTCCTTCACATCACGCGCCTGAGCTTTGGGAAAAGGTTCATGGACTCAAATGGAGTGATCGACCAGCAAGGAGAGGAATTAAAGGGAATTCTAAACAATGCCATTAAATTAAGCACCAATAAATCGTTCGCCGAGTTTCTCCCCTGGCTTAGGTTCTTGTTCAAGGCCGCGAACGAGGCATTGAACGAGCACAATCTCCGTGCCGACAGTTTCACCAAGAAAATCATGGAGGAACACACCCTCGCCAGGAAGAAGACGGGTAATACCAAGAACCATTTTGTCGATGCCTTGTTGACTCTTCAGAAGGATTATGACTTGAGTGAGGACACCGTTATCGGCCTCCTCTGGGTAAATTACTACAACCAACATTTTCCACTTTGATTCTTTATATATATAGGCTATGTTTGGTAAAACTAGCTGATAATTTATAAGTTATTTCGAGTGTGGTGAAATTCGGTGAAATAAAAGTTTATATGTATATAGAAAGCTTATAAGCAAACTAAATAAGGTACAAGTTAGCTTATGACCAAACACACTCATTGTTTCATACACCACAAAGTCACAAACAATCCCTTGCTTATTTTAGTTTTACATGATTACTTTTTTGAAATTTCAATGAAGTGAAAAAAAATATATATAAAGCAAAGATTTTTCACAGGACATGATATCTGCCGGCATGGACACAACCACGATCACGGTCGAGTGGGCCTTAGCCGAGATGGTCCGAAACCCGAGGGTTAAGCAGAAGTTGCAAGACGAGCTTGACCGTGTCGTGGGTCGGGACCGAGTCATGACTGAAGACGACATCCCGAACCTCCCTTACCTTCAGCACGTGACCAAGGAGTGCTTCCGGCTCCACCCTCCGACTCCTCTCATGCTCCCTCACAAGGCAAACACCAATGTCAAAATCGGGGGCTTCGACATTCCCAAGGGAGCTACCGTGAGCGTGAATGCGTGGGCCATTGCACGCGACCCGGCCGTGTGGAAAGACCCGCTCGAGTTTCGACCCGAGAGGTTTCAAATTGAGGATGTGGATATGAAGGGGACCGATTTCCGGTTTTTACCCTTTGGGTCGGGCAGGAGGATTTGCCCTGGTGCACAGCTGGCGATTTTCTTGGTGAGCTCGATGTTGGGCCATATGGTTCATCATTTCAATTTGGACCCGGCTGAGGGGGTTCGACCGGAGGATATGGACATGATGGAGCAGCCGGGGACGGTGACTTACATGAGGACACCGTTGAAGGTGGTGCCGACTCCAAGGCTGCCGGCTGAGCTGTACAAGCGGGTGGCGGTCGGGAATGTGTGAGCTGGCGGGATTGGAGCTTCACACGTGGCTTTTATGCCTTTTTGTGATGGTTTTATTTTGTGTTGGATGGGTGGTTAAGGTTTTATTTTGTCGGTGGAATAAGCTTTAATGAAGTCACTAATACATTTTATCGACGCGAATGTTTATACACATTTAATCATTAAACGGCCACAACTCAATAGATGCATATACAATTTTACTAAAAATATTATAATCATCGAATCGATTTACACGATGGGAAAGAAAGACAACTTATGTTGTTTGTCGAATGAGATTTTAGCTCGAGTCGGGTGGCATGGCACGTGTGAGACAATGTTCGAGCACTGGGGGGGCGGGGGAGATCGGGGTGGTTGTTCTCCTGAATCTCCAAATTAAGGAGCGATTTTGTTATTATTTTATTTTTTTTGTTTTTCATATCAGACTTTAGATTTGGCTTAATATCCGACTGTTGGATTTTTGCGCCATCTCACTAGTTTATCTAGATCAATTCGTCTATAATTGTGTATATTTTTTTTTATTTTTTTTAACAAATTAGTACGAATTACGTGCGATGCACGGGTAAGATATATTCATTAATATATATAGATTAAAATTTTTTATTAAATAATATTTATAAATTAAAAACATGGAATCAATATGTAATACTATTTACCTATATTAATTTATTGAAATATTATATAAAATTTAAATTGTGCAAAATTACATAAAAATGTATATTTAAAATTAGTACACGACCAGGCGGTTGCACATAATTGATAATAAATTACATTATATTCATTTCAAACCATCTGTCATTTCAAAATTTTTATTCAGAAATTCGATTTGACAATAACGTGATTTCATAAAATAAATTTTTAATAAAATTTTATTTTATATTTAAAACTAATGTGAATAATAAGTATAAATATAAAACTTATATTGTTTCATTAATTAAAATAATTTTTTTGTATAAAATATCCAAATCAAAAAATTTAAGTAGTTGAGTAAAAACAATCAGTCATAAGATTTTTTATGCAAAAAAAAATCAACACTATTTATTATGCTAAAAAAATGAATAATGCATTTCACACAAAAATTATTTAAAATGTCGTAACTAAAAATGAATTAAACCGAGACTCACTAATTATACAAAAAAAATTGACCAGAGCTTTTTCTATAAAAAAAACATCGATACACGCACATTATATCAAAATATCCGTTCATATTATTTTGTCAGAGTTACGGTAATTTTATTATGTTAATTTCATACGAAAAATTGAAATACACGCCTAAAAACCAATATATTGGCCTGCGCTCTACAGAAAAAAGTACACCGTGTATTAATTAATTTTTCAAGAAATTTCCTAACAAAAAGTCTTTAAATAACCTAAATAAATTTTCTCACTTTATACCATATATTGATTAATTTATTTCCCAAAGAAACAACCATCAATACCAAAAATAAACACGTTCACATTATACCATATGTTAATTAATTCACATATTTTGAGTAATTAAGGTATCTTAAAATATGCTTAACTAGTTCCTTAAATGAGGAACCGCAATTTCCATAAGTGATTATTTGACATATACTATAAATTGTTATATTAATTTTCCGAAATAGTAAATAGATTTTATTTTTTTTGAGGAAAATAATTACTATTTAAAAGTTCATATTATTTTGTCGGAGTTACGATAATTTTATTATGTTAATTTCATATGAAAAATTGAAATAAACATTGAAACACACACCTTAAAACCAATATATTGGCCTGTGTTCTACAGAAAAAAATACACTGTGTATTGATTAATTTTTCAACAAATTTCCTAACAAAAAACAGTCATCAAATAACTCAAATAAATTTTCTCACTTTATACCATATATTGATTAATTTATTTCCCATAGAAACAACCATCAATACCAAAAATAAATCCGTCCACCTTATACCATATATTAATTAATTCACATAATTTGGTATCTTTAAATATGGCTTAATTACTTCCTTAAATAACGAGCCGCACTTTTCATAAGTGATTATTTGATATATACCATAAACTATTATATTAATTACCCGAAATAGTAAATAGATTTTTTTTAAAGAAATAGTTACTATTTAAAAAATAATCAAACATTTTTCTATATATGTATATAGATGAACACACCAAATAGCAAAAATGAAAAAAAATGAAAAAAAAAATATATTATATTGTATAGGTGTCAATTATATGTCAAATTAATAAAATAGGAAAATTCTACAGTCCCGTTACGGAACTATTCCGTCTGGATTGATAACTGTTAGATCAACTATCCACGACGGTTACGTGATGATTTAACAGTTACAAATCTCGACGGGATAGCATTTTCCATAAAAATAAAATATATACATGTTATACACATCTGAACTTAAATTTTCTATTCCTCTGCATCTACTACCAAATACAACTACCACACACTCCAAAGACCCAACTAATCACATTTTCACCAACTTCAGCACATACATACAATATATATATATAAATTCTCACCCAAAAATCTCTTCTCCAGCAGCAAGCCAAAAGTCAGCTCAAGCCCAACAATGGCGCTCCCCCTCATAATCCTCTCCTTCCTCGCCGTCCTCGCCGCCTACAAGCTCTTTCAACGCCTCCGCTTCAAGCTCCCCCCTGGCCCCCGGCCCCTCCCCGTCGTCGGCAACCTCTACGACCTCAAGCCCGTCCTCGTCCGCTGCTTCACCGAGTGGTCCCAGATCTACGGCCCAATCTTCTCCGTCTACTTCGGGTCCCACCTCAGCGTGGTGATCAACTCCGCCGAGCTGGCCAAGGAGGTCCTCAAGGACAACGACCAGCAGCTGGCCTACCGGAACCGGACGCGACAGATCAACAAGTTCAGCAAGAACGGGATGGACCTCATCTGGTCCGACTACGGCCCGCACTATGTCAAGGTCAGGAAGCTCTGCACGCTCGAGCTCTTCTCCATGAAGAGGATCGAGGCGCTTAGGCCGATTAGGGAAGATGAGGTCACCGCCATGGTTGAGTCGATTTTCAAGGACTGCGTCAAGCCTGGTATGGATTGATTCTAAAATAAATATCTGATGGCCCTTTCAATTTTTTTTATCGATTTTGACTTGGTGTGTTGGGAGTTGTGATGTGACTGGGATGGGAGCTGAGAATTACAATAAATGAGTTACTAATCGTGTTGATATGAAGTAATAGATGAGAAGATATTTGGGAATTTTGGTTTTCAGCATGCTAGATTTCAATCTGTGTTTGCTTGTTGAGGTTCTGTTATTTCTTGCTTCTGCTTTGTGTTTTGTTGTCACTTGGAGAGATTAAAGCTACTTACAGGGCTAGCCTTGAATCCCTTGGAAATTGATGAGATATACTTGATTTATATAGGTTGAGACTTGAGAGGTATTATATGATCAATTCAATAGGTGCATAGATCCACAAGTTTGTTTTGCAATCTAAAATTACAACTGCAGTTCCATAATCCAATCCCATTTCATGATTGCAGTTGATAATAATATTGTTAACCAATGACTTGCAGAAAACAAGGGCAAGGCTCTGGTCCTTCGCGAGTACTTGGGCATGATGGCCTTCCTTCACATCACGCGCCTGAGCTTTGGGAAAAGGTTCATGGACTCAAATGGAGTGATCGACCAGCAAGGAGAGGAATTAAAGGGAATTCTAAACAACGGGATTAAATTAGGCACCAAGAAATCGTTCGCCGAGTTCCTCCCCTGGCTTAGGTTCTTGTTCAAGGCCGAGAACGAGGCATTGAACGAGCATGATCAACGTGCAGACAGTTTCACCAAGAAAATCATGGAGGAACACACCCTCGCCAGGAAGAAGACGGGTAATACCAAGAACCATTTTGTCGATGCCTTGTTGACTCTTCAGAAGGATTACGACTTGAGTGAGGACACCGTTATCGGCCTCCTTTGGGTAAATAAATACAAAAAACAGCTTCCACTTTGATTTCTTTCATACGTATGGACTATGTTTGGTGAAATTAGCTGGTAGCCCATAAGTTAGCTAATAACTTATAAGTTAATTTTGAGCTGATAGCTTATCACTCATGATTGAAAAACTAGCTGATATTATAAAATGTTTGGTAAAATTAGTTGATAAGCAAAAATTTCAACGGGCTTATTTTAAAAGCTACGCAAAAAAGTTTATGAGCTTACCAAAAAAGTTTATGAAGTAAGCTCGAGCTTTTTAAAAAAGTTTGTCCTTCTAAATCAAGTTTATCTGTATACAAAAAAGCTTACAAGCTAACCAAAAAATTTATAAGTTAGTTTATGGTGCTTTACCAAACACACACATAGTTACTTACATATATCACAAACAATCCCATGATTTTCTTAGCTTTTACATGATTCTTTTTCTATATTTCAATGAAGTGAAAAGATAAAGTTTTGATTTTTCACAGGACATGATATCGGCCGGCATGGACACAACCACAATCACGGTCGAGTGGGCCTTAGCCGAGATGGTCCGGAACCCGAGGGTTCAACAGAAGTTGCAAGACGAGCTTGACCGTGTCGTGGGTCGGGACCGAGTCATGACTGAAGCCGACATCCCGAACCTCCCTTACCTCCAACACGTGACCAAGGAGTGCTTCCGGCTCCACCCTCCGACTCCTCTCATGCTCCCTCACAAGGCCAACACCAATGTCAAAATCGGGGGCTTCGACATTCCCAAGGGAGCTACCGTGAGCGTGAATGCGTGGGCCATTGCACGCGACCCGGCCGTGTGGAAAGACCCGCTCGAGTTTCGACCCGAGAGGTTTCAGTTGGAGGATGTGGATATGAAGGGGACCGATTTCCGGTTTTTACCCTTTGGGTCGGGCAGGAGGATTTGCCCGGGTGCACAGCTGGCGATTTTCTTGGTGAGCTCGATGGTGGGCCATATGGTTCATCATTTCAAGTTGGACCCGCCTGAGGGGGTTCGACCGGAGGATATGGACATGATGGAGCAGCCGGGGACAGTGACTTACATGAGGACACCGTTGAAAGTGGTTCCGACTCCAAGGCTGCCGGCTGAGCTGTACAAGCGGGTGGCAGTCGGGAATGTGTGAGCTGGCGGGATTGGAGCTTGACACGTGGCTTTTCGGCCTTTTTGTGATGGTTTTATTTTGTGTTGGATGGATGGCTTTTTGAAATTTGGTTCCTTTTGTGATGTTTTTTTTTTTTTNTTTGTTTGTTCAAACAAAATAATATAGAGTTTGTTGATATATTTGTGTCCTGTCATGGGTAGGGTCATTCTAAAGCTGGAAAAAATGGAGACGAACCATCACATTATTACATGTACATTGCATGAAAAAAAAAAGTTAGATAAGTCTCTCTGTCAACTTTGACCAAACCTTTGATTTGGTTTTTATGGGTTTACACTTTACAGTCAAAAATGGCAACTTTACATTAAATTTAAGTTTTCACCAGTGAGCATGTTGCGCCAATTTCAAAATCAGTATGAGAGATCACATTTAAAAATCATTGAGTTTAAAGTATGGTATTTAAATATATGTATTCTATTTTAAAGTATGGTATTTAAATATAAAAATATGTGTAAATTCCTACTTATATATGCATTCTAATTTCAAGTATAATATTTAAAAATAAAAATATGCATATTTATTGAAATAGCACGAACATATCAACCATTAGATGGTTTAACTCAATGCATATTGCGCAAAGCTTACACCACAAGGTTATAATTACTTAATAGAGCTTAATAATTTGATTTACACGAATAATTTGTTTTGCAAGATATAGCTTGGATTTAAATAATTACAAACAAGCTCATCGGACATAGAAGAGAGTATCAAGAAGGTCATCATCATACATAGAAGAGAGTATCAAGAACTAGCTAAACGTAATAAATAAGGAAATGTATACATTAAAAAATAACCATATAACATATTCGTGAAAAAAACCTAACACAGTTTAATTGTTTGAAGAAGAGCATCCGAATTAGTGATACCGATATTTTTAAAATCAGTATAACTTAATTGAGTAGTACTTAGCTGAATATTCATACTTATGTTTTCGGAGGGTTTGGTCATACTTTTCTTTTACAAAATGCATATTTATACTAATAAATTTCATATTCTTGTTTTTATTATATTTTAAGAATTTAACTTGTGAATAAAATTATGCATATTTATTAAAAAAATATAATTATCTAAATATAAGCATCCAATAAAAAAAATTAAAAATGGGGACATGAAATTATATGATCCCGAGCAAAACAAAGGAGAGAGAGAAAAAAAAATAGTGATTTTTTTTTTTAGCCAAGTACAAATGGCTAACACAAATTTTAGCCATGTTTTGAAAAAAACACTGTTTTTAGCCATTTTGGCACCTGAAAATACCAAAAAATCCCTTACTACCTATTTTTACGAAAAAAAAAACATAACAGAAACGATTTTTGGGACCAGAAATCGATTTTTGGGACCAGAATGGTTTATGATCCAAGATATCCCAGAAATCCAATAAATGATTTCTGGTTCCGGAAATCAATTTCCGATGCCAGAAACCGATTTCTGGTTCTTGAAATGGTTTCTGGTCCAAGAAATACCAGAAATCCAATAAATGATTTCTGGTCCCGAGAATCGATTTCCGGTCCTGGAAATCGATTTCTGATTCCAGAAATCGCTCTGGTCCCAGAAATCCCAGAAATACAAGAAATGGTTTCTTGTTCCAGAAATCGATTTTCGGACCCAGAAATCTCAGAAACGATTTCTAGACCCCAGAAAAGCAAGAAATCCCAAAAATGATTTTTGTACCCCAAAAACGATTTCTGGGTAGTTTCTGGACTCCAAATCCCAAAAATGATTTTTGGAATTATTTTTAGATCCCATAATGATTTATGGTTCAAGAAATCGATCCAAAAAATCGATTCTTTATTTGTTTTATTATATAAGATATTGAATCATATAAGACATTTTTTTTTATATTGTTTGTCACTAAAATATTTTTGTATATTTGTTTATAGATGTCGTGTGAAAAAGTTCGAATTGTGCATAGTGAATTTTGGGATGAAAATGGCTATAAAAATGGATAGACAGAGATGAACTTTATGCATGTGGGGAGTTTGTCGTATGAAAACTTTTTAAATATAGTTCATGACATTGTTTGTGGACATAAACACACGTGTGATTATCGATTTCACTTCTTGATGGCCAATGAAAATGGAGAGTTGGAAAAATGGAGAATTTCTTGTGAATCCGACTTGCACAATTTGGTCGAATTGTTCCAAATTGCTTGCACATTGTTATTATATGAGGGAGGTTGAACGAAAGAGTTAAAGGTCAACCTCATTATTTGGTAAATAACTTGTTTGTGGATGACCACGATACGTGTCTATGTCTTACTTTCATTGACCTTACAAAATCGTTTAAATATTTGTATGATATCTTTTTTTCCAAATTTTAATGATATATAAATCTCAACTCACCATATACAGATAATCGCCACCAGTGTCCGTGTAAGCAAACAATGTGACAAAATTGTAGATACATCGATGCAACGATCATTATCAATCATTAAGCTTCACGTAGGTTGTTGTCATATATTAATGTTATTAACCATATTTGGCTATCACAAATTAGGCAAATCCAAAATGTGAAACTTTTAGATATAAGATATCACTAGGTATTAAAAAAACAAATACAACAGGGCCAAAATCCAAATGTATATCATCTATCCGATCCACCACACATTTAATATAGAACAAGAGATGAGGCTTCTTATGACTGTACATGTTTCATGTCTTGTAAGATGTTGGAAGCAGATGATTCAAGCGATCGTTAGTTATAGGGAACTTATCCTAACTATTAGGTAACTAAAGTTGAAAATAATTAAGAACGAAGAGTAAAATAAATGTAAAACCTGGCATAAATCTCATTTGCGTATGCGAATGATAGAGTCCCTAGCTTCCTTGAGTTCTTGCCAGGTGCTGTCTCGGTGGTCTTGATGATAGTGTCATCTAACTGCACGAGCAAAGGAAAAAACTCAGTATATATTTAATTATGTATTATAAAAGTCCTCAAACCTTCCAATATTGCGAAGGATCCTGTATGTGAGATGCTAGTTGCAAATAACTATTTGCACTAATTAATGCATATACAAGCATAATAGCCTGAAAAATCCATAGGATTATTAAGTTAAATGAAATGAAGAAAGCAGCTATGACATGAAACACAATAAAAATTTTCCTACTTCAAGTGTAGGATAAAATACCTTTTCCATGAATATAAACGGTTCTGAACAAATCAACTTGTGTGGCAAACAACTTGTGGATGGATCAATCTGGTATTATAATTGATTGGTACAATAGAAAGAAAAAAATAGACCAATATGTAGGAAAAGAGTGTTCATCGGTCATCATTTAGATACTTATGTTCTTTGTACCAATAGTATATTTCATCTACCATAACCCTCATACTCTGCATTAACCTGCGAGTCACAAAAGAAATAATTTGCAAGATGATTGTATTTCAGTAATATCCTTACCAGGCTGCAAGTATAGAAATGCAAGCCACAAGTAAGAACAGAATATAAAATCCAAAAATCTTAATCATCTACAAAAAAGTTGTTTTTGTGTAAACAATATGCTACGTCAACTAACCATTTAAATCAATAAACTTCTCTAGTATCTAGTAGTTATAATAAGGTATTGGGAATGGACCAAGATATGAGAGCACTCAAACTAGAAACCTGATCGATTACTGTAACAGAGATGTATTACAACAACATATTTCCAATTTTATTTCATTGCTTACATCTGTTTTTATGAGAGTCACCATAAAGCTTCAGCAAAAGTAATAATAGCACCATTATACATTTGCTATTACAGTATTTATTGGTCAATCAACTGAAAAATCTACACTCTTACTATCAAATGCTGCTAGTGGATAGTGTAACTTGGATACAACAGAGCACCCTATCACTTCCATGCTGAGGTACAGATAATCAGCTTTGAATAAGAATAATCATTGAGAATATATATAATGCTAATAACTACAAATAATAGATAAGAAAGTGAGAACCATCGGCACAAAATCTTGGTTCCAAATTGAAACAGCAATGTCTGGATTGTAAGTACACTTTGGCACCAGGAGAAAATCTAAAAGGAGAGAACAATCAGAAAACATATATAATACATATGCTGTCCAAATTAAACATTCAGCTCGAACTAAAACTGGAAAAATATAGAAATAGGGTAGATGAAGATATGCTAATCTAGACGTATTGCATAACTGGTAAGCTGAATAGCAAG